AATTCTTCATGGACAATGCAGTTTAGTAAAGCTAGACTTTGGCCTACACAGCCCATTTTCCGCGAGAGTTAATTAAACTACAAATGGCATCAACACCTAAGTTCTTCAAATGGGATAAGCACCATATAGTTCCGCAGTGATGGAGGCTTTTAAGCAATAAGTATATATATACGAGCTTTTAAATTTGAATCTTATAATAATCACTGTAATTTTTATTAATTAAAAAATCCAAAAATAATTTGGTACCTTTTTACCAAATAGGGTGATTATTAAAAATAAAATGTGAACTTTGATATATAGTATGAAAATATATATAAGAATAAATAATCATTTTTTTTGTTCATAAAGATAGTAAATGTGTGGTTATTTAAAAGTCTCTAAAATATCAAATAAAATTTTAAATATATCTACTTATAGTTATTTTAATTCTCAAATATATATGTACTATCCGTACCGCGTAACCGAGCTCCAAGCTCGACACCACAACGCAAGCCGACCTCGGACGCGCACCACATGGCATCAGCTCGGCATTTAAGTGAATCATAACCGATTCCCGAGGATCTCGCCCTAGACGAGGTCCGTTATCTAATCATATTACATCTTATCTCAGACCCAAGGCCCAAAGCAACCCTAATTCACACTAAGGTACGTGTATTACTTATACGAGATTCATACTCCCACAAACACTAACTTTAGCATCGGAGTCTCTTTTGCAGGTACCACCCCCATCTTGGAGCACCAGCGTACCCGTAAAGGAGGCTCATCGATCTTACCTGGCGGATCAGCTCTACAGCAGATTTTCGGTAAGAACATTTGGCGCCTACCGTGGGGCTGATCAAGACAGCTCTTATCGGCCACGCTTATGGTTTTCACCAGAAGCCATAGCATACGCGTAACAGACGACCTAGATCACACAACTAACATGAATAACGAAGCAGCAGTGAGACGACTGATCGAGCAGGTCGAGCAGCTGCGGCAGCAGCACGCCGCAAATCTACAAAGTATGCGTGCCAAGCACGAAACTGACCTAGCCGCGATGCGTACCGCTAATGAGGCTTACCTAGCGGCTCTACGCGCGGAAAATAAGAGGATTCACGCTCAACCCCAGCGGCGATATTCTGATCAACCCTACGGCTCTCAACCCAACCCCAGCAGAGCAGTACGAGCCGATTTAAACCAGGAGGCAGGATCAACTCCCCCACAGGGAGTGATCAGCACAATTGCAGGAGGCTTCGCAGGAGGGGGAGTCAGCAGCTCAGCCTGGAAAAAACACCTGTGCAACGTCAACCGCGTACACTTCACCACCTCTGCTTCGCACCAGAGCTCACAGACGATCACTTTCACCGACGATGACTATGCCGGGATCAATCCCAACCAGGACGATCCCATGGTCATAGCCGTAGCGCTAGCCAATTGGGAGGTTCATAAGACTCTGGTCGACCAAGGGAGCTCGGCTGATATCCTATATTGGCCAACATTCCTCAGGTTAGATGTCCCCCACTCTCTCAAACAACCTCACACAGAACCCCTAGTCGGTTTTGCAGGAAGGAGCGTTTACACTCGGGGATACGTGGACCTACTGACGACTTTCAGAGCACCTCCGGATTCAAGGCGGGTCATGGTTCGATACCTCCTCGTGAAAGCCGACACCTCCTATAACATCATCATCGGCAAACCAACCTTGAATCAGCTTGGAGCGGTAGTGTCCACCCCACACCTCACCATGAAATTCCCGGGGCATGATGGGAGGATTATCTCCGTCAGAGCAAACCAGAAGACGACACGGCAATGCTACACCGAAAGCCTGAAAATCGCCTCACTTAGCGAACAGTGCAAGAGCAACCTTACCACCGTTGCTCGCATCAACCACGAAGAAATCACCGACCTCAATCCAAGATCCGACGCTCGTGACGAGCGGCCTACCCCCGTTGACGAGCTCGATGACCTCCAGATCGGGAAGCTCCCCAAGCAAACCACGAAGATCAGCAGACAGTTGACTCCAAAGTTGCGACAGCAACTTGAAGCGGAAATCCTCAAGAATGCCGACCTCTTCGCCTGGTCTAGCGCTGACATGCCAGGCATAGACGCCGATTTCATCTGCCACAGGCTAGCAATACACAAGGAGGCAAAACCAGTCGCCCAGAGGAAGAGGAAGGTCGGCGGCGAAAGACGGGAAGCCATCGTCGCTGAAACACAGAAATTGCTCAACGCTGGCTTCATCCGTGAAGTCAGATACACCACATGGCTGGCGAACATGGTCCTGGTAAAGAAGAACTCGGGGAAGTGGTGCATGTGCGTCGATTATACCGACCTAAACAAAGCATGCCCCAAGGACTCATACCCTTTGTCGAGCATTGACAGGTTAGTCGACGGAGCCTCCGGACACGCCCTCCTCAGTTTCCTCGACGCCTACTCTGGGTACAACCAGATAATGATGTACCCACCCGATGAAGTGCATACGTCTTTCATCACCGACCACGCCAACTACTACTACCGGGTGATGCCCTTCGACCTCAAAAATGCAGGGGTAACCTACCAGCGGCTGATGGATAAGGTTTTCCGACAACAGATCGGGAGAAACATGAAAGTTTACGTCGACGACATGGTAGTCAAAACTACCTCGGCAGTAGACCATGATGCCGACCTTGCTGAAATATTTGCCTAGGTCAGGAAGCATAACATGCGCCTCAACCCGGAGAAATGTGTCTTCGGTGTCCAGGGGGTAAGTTCCTCGACTTCATGATTACCAGCAGAGGAATCGAGGCCAACCCCGAGAAGTGCAAGGCCATCATCCAGACGCAAATCCCACAAACGGTGAAAGAAGTCCAACGCCTGGCCGGACGGTTAGTCTCACTGTCCCGCTTCATTCCCAAACTCGCGGAAAAGGCGGGACCAATCTTCACCCTACTAAAAAAGCCAAAGGATTTCCTGTGGACAGATCAATGCGAAGAAGCTTTCCAAAGCTTCAAAACCTTCCTCACAACTCCACCAATCCTACAGAGGCCAGATCACCACACCGACCTTCTCCTTTACTTGGCCGTAGCAGAGAACGCCATCAGCGTAGTTATTGTACAAGAACACCAAAAGGTACAGACACCTATCTACTTCATCAGCCGAGTCCTCCAAGACGCGGAAAGGAGATACCAAATGATCGAGAAGCTGGCATTAGCGCTCGTCACCGCAGCTCGGCGGCTCCGACCCTACTTCCAGAGCCACCAGGTGATAGTCAAAACCGACTATCCCGTCAAGCAAATTCTGCGAAAGCCTGAGCTCGCCGGACGCATGATCGCCTGGTCGGTAGAACTATCCGAATTCGGCATCCAGTACGAAGGTCGCGGACCCCTGAAGGCCCAATGCTTAGCCGACTTCGTAGCCGAGCTCACGCCAACTACTGCCGAGGAACCCCAGGTATGGACTTTGCATGTTGACGGGTCCTCCAACTCTAAAGGCGGTGGTGCAGGCATCATTCTGGAAGGGCCAAACCAAGTCACCTTGGAGCAATCCCTCAAGTTTGGCTTCAAGGTGACCAATAACCAGGCGGAGTACGAGGCACTTCTAGCAGGACTGAGGCTGGCCCGCGACCTCGGGGCTCGAAGAGTGAGTTGCAACAGTGACTCAAAACTCATGGTGGAGCAGCTCAGCGGGACGTACCAGGCAAAGGACACTCTGCTACAGCGGTACTTTCACACTACGTCCCACCAGATCTCGTCTTTCGACGAATTCATCATAAAGCATGTGCCGCGAGAGCAAAACGCCCGAGCCGACCTCCTATCGAAGCTCGCCAGCACCAAAAGGCCCGGACAACACCGAACCATGATACAGGAAACCTTGCACTCACCCAGCCTAGACGACAAGGTCGTCAACGTCAGTGACAATGAAGACCTGGGATGGATGGCAGGCATCTGGGGCTACTTGAAAGAGGGAATCCTGCCCAAGGGTAAAGACGAAGCTCGGAAGATAAGGATGAGATCGGCCAAGTTCGTCATCATCGGAGATGAATTATTGAAGCGTGGCGTCTCCTCTCCACTGCTCAAATGTCTGACTGCGTCCCAGGCAGCCTATGTCATCAAGGAAATTCATCAGGGGATATGCGGCATGCATTCTGGGGCGCTTCAATGGCAACCAGGATACTCCGAGCTGGCTATTAGTGGCCCACTCTGAAGTTGGATTGCCAAAGCCACATCCAAAAATGCAAAGAATGCCAGCAGTTCGGCAACGCACACCGACAACCACCCGAAACCCTCCACCACATGATGTCGGCATGGCCTTTCTCCCAATGGGGAATGGACATCCTCGGGCCATTCCCCCCTGCGAAAGGCCAACTAAAATTCCTCCTAGTAGCAATCGACTACTTCACCAAGTGGATCAAAGCATGTCCACTCGCCAAAATCACCACCGAGAACGTGCGGAAGTTCACTTGGAAGAACATCGTCTGCAGGTTCGGAATCCCTCACGCCCTCGTCACTGACAACGGCCGACAGTTCATCGCACAGGAATTCGAGGACTTCCTCCGCGAGCTCGGAATCAAACACCTTTCGACCTCGGTGGAACACCCTCAGACCAACGGCCAGGCCGAAGCTGCCAACAAGATCATCCTCCAGGAACTCAAAAAGCGACTAGGAAGCGCCAAAGGGCAGTGGCCCGATGAACTCCCCAGCATCCTATGGGCGTATCATTGCACCCCCCAGTCAACCACACAAGAGACGCCTTATAGGCTGACCTACGGAGCTGACGCAATGATCCCAGTAGAGGTCGGCGAACAGAATGCCCAAGAACTGGCAGCTAACCTCGACTTAGTGGACAAGCTTAGAGACGAAGCTCAAATCCACGAAGAAGCCCCGCGGTTAAAACCTCCAGAAAATGTATTTCCTGCGGTTGTGATTTTCGCCGGGAAAACATCCGTGACAAACGATTTACCAGCGGTTTTTGACAACCCCCGGAAGTGCGCATAGCATACCCACGATTTTGTAACCCCCGTTAACGACATAGTCTACCAGGGGTTATAAACCCCCGTTAACCCCCGTTTCCAATCCCTGCTTCCAAGCCTTGTAGAGCACTACTACAGCACCTTCGACACCAACAGAGCAGGCTTGGTGGGTCTCTATCAGGATGGTTCCATGCTCACCTTCGAGGGCCAGAAGATCCAAGGCGCCCCCTACATCGTCACCAAACTCACTTCCCTCCCTTTCCAGCAGTGCCACCACTCCATCTCCACCGTCGACTGCCAGCCCTCCGGCGTCAACGCCTGCATGCTCGTCTTCGTCAGCGGCAACCTCCAACTCGCCGGAGAACAACACCTTCAAGGATAAATTGTTGGAAGATTACTGCGTTTTGAAGATTAAAAACTTTGAATTTATTTGTGATCTAAGATATTGGAACCATGTTGATCCAGTTTACCCCTACCATTTAGTAAATGCTTGTCATAAAAAAATAAATTGGAAACGCACTTTGGTGGGGGGTGCGGTCTGGGAAAGCTCTTGGTTGGGGATGATAACGGGCCAGGATTCGCCTGCTTCGCGGAACATCTGCTCGGTCTCGAAGTATTGACCCTTTTTCAGAATGAGGCTTCTTATGCTCTGAGCGGGCGTGGAGGTGGCGTCGAAGACTTGCTCAAAGGTCACCGTTATCTGCGGCGGACGCTCTTCCCTTCCGCGCTTCACCTCCACTTTGCACGCCGGGTTCGATTCCTTCGCCTTCCGCGAGTTGTATTGCGCCGAGTATGAACGAAAGAGGTGGAGGAAGGCGAGGGAGTCGGAGGGAGAGAAGGAGGGGAGGGTTTGGGCGATGTGGCGGAGGAAGAAGGGGGTTGGGGTTCGCCATTGCGAAGCGGAATGAAGGAGGGGGCTTAGGGTTTGGTGAGAGAGGGAAACCAAAAGATAAGAGAGAGGGAAATGAAAAAAAAATAATTATCATTACAAAAATAAAAAAAAAATTAAAAAATAATATATTATTAAAAAATACCAACGGTTTTAAATTTTAACCCCTGTAATTTTGTTCCCGAGAAGACATCACCTCACCCCGGGTCGAGGTAACCAGCCCCTGCAACTCACCCACCAGAGAAGCATACTCTTCGTTAGAGCGAAGGGCGATCTCCAAGGACTTCTGGGCCCTGGTGAGGCCCCCCCTCGCCGTCTGGAGCTCGGCCCCCTGCATCTTCGCTTCACCAAGGGCGGCGGTCAGAACCCCGTTATCCTCCTTCAGGACTTTATTCTCATCCTTCAGAGGCTGAATAAGGCTCCTCAACTTCGCCATGTCCTCCTGCTGCCTCGACCACTTGTGTTTCTAGTAATCCACAATGGTCGTTCCTCGCTGAAGGAAGATCTGGGCGGCATCAAAACTTCCCATTGGCCCGGCCGACTCGATCATCGCCTGATCAGCCGTGCTCAACGACCCCTTCGGGAAAAACTTCTCCGGAGTCACCGCGGCGCTCCACAGAGAGTCGACCTCCTCCGACGCACTCAAGAGCTCCAGCCGCATGGGCGCGCCCTCTTGCGCATAGCGATACGCAAGGTACCGCCGCTTCAGCTTCGGCACCGGACCAGGGGTAGGGAGCCCGGAGTTCGACCCCTCCCTACGGACCTCGGCAGAAGTAGGCGCAGATACCCTAGTGCCGCTCCCCGCCTGCAAAAAGCAAGGACACTCTCCTAAAAACAAAAGTAACCAGAAGGGTAAAACGCCAAATACCACAGAAGGGCCAACGACTCACCTCACCAACCGAAGCAGCAGGTATTGCACCCCGGATCATTTCCTCGACGGCCAAGATGGCCCGCCCGGCAACAAGGACCACTTCCTCGGCAGCACGAGGGTTAGCATAACCCTCGTTAAAAAAACTCAGTTAAATACATATTTTTTTGTAGTGGGTGACAACCAATAACCCTTATAAAAAAATGATAATGATAATGTGATATATAAAGACAGATTTCGCTACATGAAAAGTTAGATCCCTTGTTTGAGGGGAGGATTGTTGGGTACAAACAAATCTCACATTCTTAAAATAAGACAATAAATAACAACTTATAATATAGTACAAACATACTTCAATGATAGAGAGGCCTTTTGGGTAATGACCAAAAGCAAAATCGTGAGGGCTTAGGTCCAAAGCAGACAATATATCATCATTGTGGAGTATGTTTGTGTAATAACCTTATAAAAATAACTTTCATAAAATATTCCCTCAGACAAATACCATAAAATAGAGCCGCAAGTTAGAGTGGGTGACAACCAATAACCCTTATAAAAAAATGATAATGATAATGTGATATATAAAGACAGATTTCGCTACATGAAAAGTTAGATCCCTTGTTTGAGGGGAGGATTGTTGGGTACAAACAAATCTCACATTCTTAAAATAAGACAATAAATAACAACTTATAATATAGTACAAACATACTTCAATGATAGAGAGGCCTTTTGGGTAATGACCAAAAGCAAAATCGTGAGGGCTTAGGTCCAAAGCAGACAATATATCATCATTGTGGAGTATGTTTGTGTAATAACCTTATAAAAATAACTTTCATAAAATATTCCCTCAGACAAATACCATAAAATAGAGCCGCAAGTTAGATTCGGTGACAACCAATAACCCTTATAAAAAAATGATAATGATAATGTGATATATAAAGTCAAAAAACCCTAGCTATTGGGGTGCAGCTGGCAAGGGGCCGCGTTGATGTAGTTCAAGAAATCACACTCAAACTGAGTGAAGGGAAGACAAACGCCTAGGTCCTTGAAAAAACTCTGATAAACATAAAAGTGGGGGGGATCGGTTGACTTCCCCATGAACACACCCTCACCAGCCGGACAGGGCTCGAGCTGAATCATCCGGGAAAGGGTGGGGTCGCAAATCCGGTGTGTCTCCCAAACCACATCAACCTCCAGGCGCGACCTGAACACACCTTGGATGCCCCCCATCTCGCGCTTGACCCAGTCGTAACCAGGAACACCCGGCTCCAGGTCCTTAGGTGGGGACGGGTCTTTTCTCTCGGCGGCACCCTTCCCGGTAGCCACCGCCTTGTCGCGCGCCTTGCCCCTGGCAGGCGCAGAAGAACCGACGCCACGACCACCAACCATCAAGAAGACTCGAAGAAAGACTATAAAAATGAAGACGAAAGCGAGAAAGCCAGGAACGAGAATGCACAGAGGGCTACCGTACCCAAGAAGCTAAAAAGTAGAAGAAAGTGGAGTGAATGGGAAGAGACGCGGGAAAGAAAAAGAAAAGGGGCTCTTCCCACATTTCAAAACCGCCACGCCACGTGTCGGTCAGGGGACACGCCTGACAACACAATTAATTGCAAGACCATCATTACATAACCGTCATCTCCTATAAACGTGCCACTTGCACGTTCCCGGGAAATGAACAGTCACGACACATGGTACCACAACGAGCAAACATATGCGAGAGGTCACCTCCCCCCAGCGAGCTCGGTCTTAACTCCTCGACCTACGGTCTTCAGAGCTCGGGGGGCTAATGTACTATTCGTACCGCGTAACCGAGCTCCGAGCTCGGCACCACAATGCAAGCCGACCTCGGACGCGCACCGCATAGCATCAGCTCGGCATTTAAGTGAATCATAATCGATTCCCGAGGATCTCGCCCCAAACGAGGTCCGTTATCTAATCATATTACATCTTATCTCAGGCCCAAGGCCCAAAGCAACCCTAATTCACACTAAGGTACGTGCATTACTTATACGAGATTCATACTCTCACAAACACTAACTTTAGCATCGTCATCTTTAATATTAGGTTTCAATGAAGAGTAATTTAAGAATTTTTTTTAAATTTTTTTAATTAAATTAATACAATTAAATGATGTTAATTAATTTCTTTTAAGTAGCGTGAATCAATTTATGTACATTTTAGGAGGGATTATTTTATGAAGAGAAATAATATTTCTAAAACACTTAGAAAGAGAATGAGAGAAAAAAAGAGAAACTTAAAATGTAATATATTATGTGATAGGTAAAAAAATACAAAATTATTATTGTACAAATTATTGTATGTGGATCATATGTCTTTTATTAACAAGTATATATTTAAAAATAATTTATTGTGATTTTTTTTGCAATGAAGTTTTCGTTTCAAGTTAAAAATAAAAAAAAATATAAATTACTATTTATAAACTCACTTTTTTATCAAGTTAATCGAGTAAAAATTGTAAAATCATGATTTCAGAATCTAATTTAAATACACACTTAAATCTCTCTTTATATATATATATATATATATATATATAACAATATCTATTAAGAGACTAAAATAACTATTTACTCATTATAAGACTGTACTTCAAACATCTAATGACATGCTCTGCACTTGCATTGTGACATTATCATTACTAGAATTATCGATCAAACTTGCAACAATGATTTATAGAAACTAATGTTATAAACATTCATTTGGTACTTATAATTTTTCTCTTCTTCTCTTCTTGTCATGATAAATTATCTATCACATTATTCTCTCTCAAAACATTAACTAACATTGGATGTCCATAAAACACCAATTTAAATAGGGGTGGTAAATTTATTGGATGCAGCAAAAAATTCGAAGAATCCAATATTAAATTGAGTTAAACAGGTCAGCTCATTACTTGGTTAAAAAAAATAGTTTCCTTCAATTTTATTAGTCGGGTTCAATTTTAAATATTAAAATTCATCGGTAACTAAACCTGACCGAATATACACAACTTATAAAACACTACAACACAAATGGTATTTAGCAACATTTGAAAAATGTTACTTAATTATGTATAAATGTTACTAATTTGTTTTAGCAACATATTATCAAATGTTGTATATAGTCCATGTTACTAAAGACTTTTAATAACATTTTTGCATAATTAGGTAACATTTTTTAAATGTTACCAAAGTAGTATTTTTGTAACATTTTAATAATTTTTTGTAACATTTTAATGATGTTGCCAAGATTTTGATAACTTTATAAAATAATAATTAATTTTAATTTAAATATTACTATCAATTATTATATTTTTATGTCTCTTAAACTAAATTTCTAGGAGTTCCTTAAGTTTTTAGGGAAATACATTTTTAGTTAGTCACCACTAATTATATATAGAATATCAAATTTTATTTATTTTAAATATAACTATATGAGTATATATACTCTTTATGAGTCATTAATCTATTCGATGTGGAACTTTAATTATGATTTACAATTAGATATAAGAGAAATATATTTTTTTGACTCGATGTGGGACTTTGATTTTAGAAGCAACTATAATAACATTTTTTTTAAAAATGTTGCAAAATAACTTATGTAAATTTTTTTTACTCGATATAGGACTTTGATTTTGAAAATTAGTAATATTTTAATAAATATAAATAAGAAAATGTTGTTAATGCATTAAAATCTAATAGTGAAACCCTACATATATATAAAAACATACTTTTGATTGCACTTCTTTCATTAACCTAGTGTTGCACAACTTTGTGTGTCTTTCCATCGTTCTTTTTCATATTCCTACGTACTTTCATAACTTGTATGTTGCATCTGTTTTACGTCCTCTCCTTCTCTTGCTTCGTTGGTTCATTTCATCAACACAACCTCAGGGAGTAGGGAGTAGTAGCACCTCTCTAATATATTGCTCTCTCTCGGTGACTTCCAAATCTACTAGTGTTTTTTAATTTTTCTCTTCTTCTATCCTTCATATATGCAATATTTCTCCCCTTTCATTTTTATGAATATTTACAAGTTTGAATGTTGCTCTACATATTAGGGTTGAAATAGGTGAGAAACTCATGACAATTTTGGTGTAAGCTAATTTTTTGATGGTGGTCCAAACTCTTGCAACCTACCCGTTTTAATTCACATTACAAGAAAATTGTCATATAGTGACATACATTCTATAATGACACAATATATGTCATTAAAAATTACTTTTATCTACATAATAAATACAATATATATTGATATATTGTTAAAAAAATGTAGGTATAGACTATAGTGACATATAAAATATGTTGTTAAATCTTATTCAAAATCAATATTAAAATTGTGTATAACTATATTTTAAATAGATGTATACCTATGTATATTTATGTATATTGTACCTATAATGACACTTTTATATGCCACTATATGTAACATTTCTTGTAATATCATTAGTTACTTTAACATTCGACTCATCCAAACCAATGTATGTCATGGTCAAAAACGAACCTAAAAAAGTATTCTTATAGATTTGTTTAGGTTGGGTTATTTGGATCTGAATATTTGACCAAATTCAAATCCAAATCCAACAATTTCTCAATCCTAATTTTAAATTATAATAGTAATAAAATAATAAATTTGTTCTTTTGGGAAGATTGGTCAAAGAATAAAGTTACTAAAGTCATGAAGTTATAAGTCTATCAAAATAATTATATATATATTGTTAAATTTTGTTAAAAAATCACATATGTTACTAAAGAAAAACCTAACATATAATATTGTCATTTAAAGTGAAAAAAGAATCTCCCAAATTTTGTTATAGCCTTCTCTGATTTTGATTTTTTATAGGTTCAAACTGATTCACTGAATTGGGTTTCCTAATTGAAATACTACTGAATTGTAAAAACTGTGATTGAGTTTAGATGACATTCCAAACCTGTGGTTGTAGCTGAAGGTCATGACAAATCATGTCCCATTCCGTCGCGAGGCTCCCCGGCCATTTTCAGATCACGTTCCCACGACGGAATGCCTGGCGCCATGATCTTACAACCATGGACTATAATTTCACCAAAATTCACCATCTCATTATTCGTGTATCCATCACCA